AGAGCAGCCTGGGAAATAAAGGTAAAAATTTGTTTGTGGGATTTAAAAGTAGAAGACAATCATGAAGCAGAATGGATATTGCAAAAGGAATCAGGAAAGTGGCTAAAACTCCTGAACAAAAGTATGAAAATATGTGGAGCGATTGGGGTTGGTTAAGTAATTGGTTTCCCAACACTGAATGGTTAAGACAAATGTTTCTTGGCCTAAATTTTTTTAGTGGTTATAGGACTTATGTGTTGTGCATGTCTGCAATGTATTCCTTTATGTGGATCTACTTTAACCAAAGCTGTAGGAAAAGCTTTTAGGAAAGTCTTAGGAAAAGAAGAAGTTATACCGTTAATGGTTATAATATTTTCTAAGTATGATAATGAAGACCTTTCAGTGTAATAAAAATTAAAAGGGGGGATTTGATAGAAGTAAAATAAAGGTCTTCAAAATTTAATATTGAAAGAGACATTTAAAATTGAATTTGCTGCAGCGGAAATTTACTGAGTGGAGAAGCTATGATGGGAAACAGGAAAGGTTAACATAAAGAAAGGATGTAAAGGAAATATGTAGGCAAAAATAGCTGGGTCTTAGAGTGGGAAAGGAAGAAGAAAACATCTGTAATAGAAGATAACTAGCAAAACAGGAAAGAACCTATTTTTCTAAGAAGTCATAAAAAAGGGGGGCAGAACTCAGGCAACTGAGCATGCACAATTAATTGATTAATATTAACTGACACACCTTGCATAAATTATCTTCTAATTTTAATGTACATGTGATGTATGATTTAGTATGTAGCAGGAAATATGTAGGAGGCGGTCAGAAAGAGTGTAACCTCATAGTATCTCAGCCAATGGGGAAAGAGGAGGGATGTGGCGGCCGGGACAAGGGATGTATAAAGAAGGAAATATTTTGGGTTAAAACTTTGGAGAGAACTAAGCTTTGATAGCTTCTCTCCCCGCTTATTGCAATAAACGAAACAAAAGGCCTTCACTGTGTCTTGGCTGGTTATTGGTCAGGCGAACTTGCCTCTGGTCATGAAGGAAAGTAGCCAGAAGCACATAACATTATGGAAAGCGTAAGTAAACTAAAACTAAAATATTTTAAAAAATGTATAAATAAAGTTCATCAACACATTTAACAAATTCAAATTAAACTTTACCATATCTTTCCAATTATATTTTATTACTTGCTAATATTCTTTTTACTTCAGGGATAGGCAGATATAATAAAACCTTAAAAAGTCAAAGAGTTATATATGCACCTTTTATAATTTTGTAGCTAATGGATAATCTTCCCAGCTGTTTCATGTAGATATTGAATAGGATTGGGGATAGAATCAAGCTCCGAGGCACTCTATACTGTATAAGAGGAGGCTTGAGCCTGCTAGCAACACCGATTGGAGGTGGTAGGAAGATCCACCTTATTTTAAGTCCTCCAAAGGTCATCCACAAATGCAACCAATAGGGTTGCCAGGTGTCCACTATTTGAGTGGACAGTCCACTTTTTTCACATTATGTTCACTATTTTTTTTCACAAAATAGTGGTCATTTTTTTTTATTCAAAAGCTTTATGATGAAGTGGTACGTAATCTAAAGCTGTACAGTCTACTTTTTTTACTACTTAACCCCCCCCCCCCCCGCTTGTCTGCTATTTTTTGGAAGCAGACCTGGCAACCCTAGCAACCAATGCTGTCTTGGTATGTGTCAAACTCACTAGGTAGATCAGACAAGGAATCAACTGCACAAGAAGGCTAAAGCTAGTCTTTTATTGAGAGGGGCTATATCTACCCATTTCATATTCATATGAATTAGGGAAATGTCTGACCCTCTTCTGCAGATTTCCTGCTTGTTGTACACTCAAGCTATGCTTTTCTGCTTGTCACCTACCTCCATCCTCTTTATTCCCTAGATTATTATAACCCAGCCTGAAAAGAGTCTGGATCATTTGCTTTTTCCTGGTTACCCAAGAAGCTATGCAGTATCACTTCTCAACAACTGTCCCCCAAAAGGAAAGATTGGAAACTGGATTAAAATTGTCCAGTACTATTGAACAAGGATGACTTCTTGAGGAGGGAATGGACCATAACTTCCTTCAAACAGGTGAGACTACCCTATCCTTCAAAGAAACTTTCTCCACTGTTTGAACCCAATTATTTCCCAACTTGACTTATGCTACTCCATGCTACTGTTACAAATAGCAGCATATATGCATTTATTTTATAATTTCACCATATTAAAAAGGAAATGTTTATTAGAATTTTTAAAAAAGCAAAATAACCTTGAAATCTCATGTTAAAATTGAAGATGACAATTCCTTCCTTGATACTGTGAGCCACTGCTTGCAGTATTCACATATTGCGCTAAGCCATAATATTATTATCCTGTTTATGACAGAATGTTATTGTGAGCCTAGCCAATGATGATTTATTCAGCAAACCAGTGTTAAACAAATCAAGCTGGGTAAATATCTAGCATGAAATCTTGGGCTACAATGGATCAAAATACATCATGTCATCAGATTCTACAACCCTTCCCCCCAAAATAGCTAGTAAATGCTAGTTAGTTCTTGAACTTGAAAAATAATACTTAAAAGTATCACCATGTGTTATATCTTAAGGTTGCAATTTACAATTGGAAGATATGTATCAGAGACAAACAATGTATGGCTTCTCTAGTGATCCAATATGGGGGAAGAGATATGATCAAGCAAAACAAATACTGAAACAGAGTATTTTGACATGGCATAGCAGTGAGACCAAGGCAACATAGGTCTTGGAAACTTGCTTTTATTGCTAAGCCAGCTGACTATAGGTAGTCCTTCCTTACCTTCCATTCATTCAGTAACCATTTTAAATTACACTAATCTGAAAAAATGGCCTTATGACCTGTGAACAAAGTTATAGCTGTTGTAGTACCTCCGTGGTCATGCAATCAAAAATTGGGTTCTTGGCAGCCTGCCTGCATTTATAACCTCAGGGGCATTGCAGCTCCCCCCCCCATCTACACTTTTGGCTGCCTTGCAGTGGCAGCAGCGCTAGGACTGGACTGAAGTAATGTCTCAGGGTGTTCAGCAATCTCAGTTAGCTAACTGCCACCGACCCAAGGCTCTACTTACAGTAAGACCTGTTTCCACTGACAAATGCTGCTTCAAACCTCATACCATCCATAAATCCTTAATTTCCCCTACCACCCTGCACTACACTGAATATGCCGGGGGCCAATTACCTTTGCTGTTTTTCTCTAGTTGCTGACAGTCATGTCCAGCTTGTATGAGGCAGCTGCTAGCCCAGACATTACACCAGCACAGTTACTGTACTATAATTCCATATAGCTGCTATGAAAAACAACAAATGTTGTCCAACACAAATGCAATCTATCCATAACCCTAAGGTTTTTTTCTTCTTTCTTTCCCCCCCTGTTATTGTGGTTTTCATGTATTATGGGGAAATTGATATATTTTTATGTATTAAAGCTGGTCTATGATTGTGATGAAGTTTATGTTACTAATCTCAGACTATCAATCAGCCTATTTCTCATCTGACCATTTAAAAAAGAGATGGAATTACAATTTTAGTAGTCTAAGGATGTCTGTCTTCCCCATTAGACCATTTAGACATTGCTTTGACAAAACCAAGGTCTGCTTCAATAAATATTGCATTTTTATTGCATGGGAAATGGTTCTTAAGTAATGCAAAAAAGTTCAAAATACTGGAACTCTTGGGAAAAATTGTAAGAAAATAAAGAGGGTTTTTTCCAGTCAAATTTAATTTTCCAATTTAATCTACAGTTCTGGGATTTCCTGGTGATAGGTCATCCAAATACTAAAGAGGACTGACATTGCTTTAAGGAATCAACCAAGGTCAGCCAGATGCTTGGTGTTTACAACTAATCAATATACAATGTATAGTATCAAATAATTATTAATTTAAAGCTGAAAAAATACACTGAATTATAAATAAAAGATAAACATTTCAATTGCACTGCAGAAAAATGCAGTACCAACATAATAAAACTATTTAATAATTCTGATTTAACTAAACTTGCTATTTTGAGGAGATCAAATGTTCTGCAATTTAAATTATACTATAAGAAGCTTCCCTCAATGAGTTTATGGGGAAGGCATGTATTTAATTTTTTTGTTTTTGATAGATTAGATTTGAAGACAGACAACACATTTCATCTAGACTGATGACTTTCATATATGTTGAGTTGCATTCATGATATAATGTTAAATTTTATTATTTTCAAACAAAATACATGCTTATTCCAAGGCAAATATCAAGGTGTATTTTTTTACTACAAACTATAAATTTAGTTCAGGACATTTAGATAATATTTATATTTCTTTCTTTATAAATAGAAGACATGCATGTATCAATTTCTGCCCAAAGTCACATTGAAAGCACACTTACCAAATATAATGAAGTAAAATGCTGAATCCAAATTTGTTTAAGTACTGGATTTTCAATATAATAATTTGGATCTGCATTTTATGATTATAATGTATATGCTCAAGATTTTTCAATCATTTTCTGGCTCTTTTATGGAGGGCTAAGGCCAGGATGAACATAATATATTTCTGCATAAACACATGAATAATTGCAGCAAGAATGATATAAAGATGTGGTAAAAAATAAAGTGACCAGCTAAAAGTTAGCAAATGCAAAGCTCTACTACTTCTATTCATTTGGATAAATTTGTATATTAATAGTAATACTCAAGTGTATTTCTATGATCTATGCTTTGTCATAATACCACAGCCATGCAATCTGAATTATTTGCTAGAATTAAATGAATTATGAAATGTCTGATAATTTAACATATTGATTTATATATTTTGTATCTGGACTGAAAAGTCATTTAGTAAAACAGTCAGCATCTAAAATGTTCATATGGCATCATATCTGAAGATGGTGGATGATAAACTGTTAAGTTAAATGATATGAATAGAAAGTCTGAAGAGTATTATCTTCAAATCCAAGATAGTATGATTAATAAGAAAAATAGTAATACCTGTATTCACCAAGAGTTCCATCATCTTCTTTCATAGGTTGTATTTCTGGATCACCATGTGCATCTTCTTTTTCTTTCACTAAAATATGCAAAATTGGACCTTTAAAGATGCCATTCATAGAATTTAAACATACACTAGAACAGGGGTGTCAAACTCAATTTCATTGAGGACCGCATCAGCATTGCGGTTGCCCTTGGGGGGGCGGGTGGGTGTGGCCAGGGTGGGTGTGGCCTACTGGGTGGGCGTGGATGGAGTGGGTGTGGCCTATTGGGTGGGCATGGCCAGCTCTACATCGTTCACGTCAAGGGTGCCTGTGGGCCTGGGCAGGAGTGGGACAGATCTGAGGGTCTCTGGCAGAAGGGGGTGGGACCAGGCAAGTGCCAAGGCATGGTCCACTGGAGGAGCCTCACCATTCCTCTCAGGCCATGCGGGGGGGCTGAATGGTGGTACGGGCTGCCTGGAGCCGTGGGCAGCAGAGGTCAAACCCCTGGCCTGGCCCTCGAGCACCCGCGGCATCAAGCCCAGCCCCATTTCCCCAGCTGCACGTAGCTCCTCCTCAAAGCTGCTGCTGCTGTGCTTGCTCTCCTTAGCCAGGTTGCTGGGTACGAGGGCAAAGTCAGAGGTCAGCCCATGGGAGGAGACCTGGCTTTGTATCCAAAGTTTCCTTAGCAATAGGATGGGAGACCCCCAAGATAGGCCAGGAGGAGGAGGCAAGGGTATGGTAAAAGGGCAGCAGGGCAGGACTAAGGCAAGACTTCCCTCAGACCCTCCCTCTCCTTCTTTCCTTTCTTTCTTCCTAAGTACAGAGTGGTGGGAAAATATTTGAGATGAGGGAGGGAGGAAAAACAGGCAAGAAACGCAGCTGGGGAGGTGTCACCCTTTGTGAGGAATGAAGAAATGCACCATCACCTGGAAGTGGCCAGCACATGGCCCTCACCTACTTCACATATCTGGCTTGGTGGGCTCTGGGGGAGGGGATGCCATGAGCAGCGTGAGAGTCAATGTTACCCGCGCAATGCCGGCCAGCCCCCAGCCTGCCCAGTTTTGGGAGGCAGCAGGGCGCTCTCCTCACAGTGCTGAGAGGTTGAGCCGTGTGGTGCAAAGCTCGCCAGCTTTGCACCTTGCTGCCTGCTGAAATTGGGCAGATTGGGAGCTAGGCAGCATTGCACTTCTCATCAGTTTTGCGCCACCTGGCTCAGCTCTTGGCGCTGTGAGGAGAGTGCCCTGCTGCCTGCCGAAACCCCTCCCCCAGAGCCCATCAAGCCGGATATGTGAAGTAGGCGAGGGCCATTTGCTGGCCACTTCCAAGCGATGGTGCATTTCTTCATTCCTCACAAAGGGTGACACCTCCCCAGCATGCACCCAGGGGGTGGGACCGACGCGGCAGGGGCTGATTCCTCGCTGTTTCCAGACGGCCTTGTGGAGCTAAGACTGAATGCGTTTTAGCATAGATGGCCACCACAAAATTGTACATTGGCTCCCAGCCGGCCTGGGCCAGGGCCAAGGCAGCAGGGGCCGTTCCCTCACTGTTTCCAGGATGCCTTCGTGGGCCACATGAAACCACTTTGCGGGCCGCATCCGGCCCCCGGGCCTTGTGTTTGACATGTCTGCACTAGAACAACCCTTATATATATATGCCTGTCTCTCAGTTCTACAAGATTGTCATACCACAAAAAGACCAAAACTAATCTTGCCGGTCCAGTATTGCTTGCCCTTTTCTTTTCCTTATACCCAGGGAGACAGAGCCAGCCTAAGTCTCACTGTAATACTTTCTCTTCACTTTTGGCTCAAAGCACACTTCGGCATCTGCTGTTATCAATACTTTCTGAACTGCTTCTTCAAGGTTATCTTCATAGCTCCATACATACAGCAAACAGCAATTGTATTGCTAGCACATTAAATTAGGCGTTCTTAATTTTCAAAATTTTTACAGTCCTACTGGAAATGGGACAATAGTTAGCTATAATTGGATTGTTCAGAGTGAGTGCTTCAGATTTTCTTTTTTATCCCATTGTGTGTTGAGCCTTCTCTCAGTAGTGGGCTAAAATGTTACAGCTGGTCAGATGAACAACAGAATAGTTGTGACTTTGAAACCATATTTGAAAAAAAAATTGAATATTAATCGAAGTCAAAATTAATGAACTATATACAGGTAGTTTTCTAGTTATGACAGTAATTAGAACTTAGAACTCTGATGCTAAGCAACACGGTTGTAAAACATTATGTTACATGACTGCATTGCTTAGTAATGAAATTACAGCAGTCCAGGACTGTTGTTAAATGAGGACTATGTGGGTCTGTAAATGACTCCATGTGACTATGACTTTGGACTACCTACTGGCTTCTCCATTGCTTTGCTCAGAATCTCAATCACTTAACTGTGATGGCCAGAACTCCAAGAAACTGTCCTAGTCCCCCTTTTTAACTGTATTATAACATTGAATAGTTGCTGAATGAATGGTTGTAACTTGAGGACTACCGGTAGTAAAGTCAAGCATACTTAAAGATTTATTTCTTATATTTTGAATATTAGCAGCAGTAGTAGAAATATTATATTTAAATAAAAATGAACATTTCCTTTTTTAAAGATTAAATCAGAAGATCCAAAACTTACCTGGGTATTTTCCACCTTTATTTCTCTTTATGAAACAAATAATGAGCAAAATCAAGATGAGAAGAGCAACTGCACACATAAGACCAATGAACCATCCTTGAGTAGCAATGTCAACCTGCCGACTTGCCTTTGCTAAGAATGAAAAAGAGGCATTTATTCGTACCAGTTCTGCATTCTTATGAATTAATTTACATCACAATTATAAACAATATATTTTGGTCTTTTAAAACCATTTGATAATTTTGTAGTATTGTTGAATTTTAGATATTTGCATTTTAAAATACTAAATGTGTAAAAATAAGTATCCTCTCCCCTTATACTTGCCCTATTTTTCTAATAAAAACATTTGTGGCAGTGGTTTGAGAATTGTCCTTTGGCCCATAGTTGAATGTACAAATAATTATCCTGGAAATATTTCTCACACATTTTAAAGAGCTTTCAGCGTGCACTAAATAAGGAAATGTATGTAGTCAGTTTCCTTTCTGCTCAGAAATCTATGGTTTAGGGGTAGTTTAGTTCATTTAATCCAAATAGTGCAATCCTGGAATCTCTAGCATGTATACACTATTGAAGCAGCGACGTCTACGCTGGCTTGGGCATGTTGTGAGAATGGCTGATGGTCGGATTCTGAAAGATCTCCTATATGGAGACCTAGTGCAGGAAAAGTGCCCCAGAGGGAGACCTGAGCTGCAATATAAGGATATCTGCAAGAGGGACCTAAAGGCCTTGGGAATGGACATTAACAGTTGGGAATCCTTGACCTCTGATCGTTCAGCCTGGAGGCTAAAGTTGCAGTATGGCCTTCTCCAATTCAAAGAGACACTTGTATGGCAGGCGGAGGCAAAGAGGCAGTCCCGGAACCAGCGAAATCTGGGGGCTGGACAGGGGACAGATTGTATCTGCCCCCCCGTGTGGAAGGGACTGCCATTCTCGAATTGGCCTTTTCAGCCACACCAGATGCTGCCTTAGGACCTCTTTCCAGAGCACGATACCATAGTCTCTCGAGACTGAAGGATGCCAATGATGAGTTCATATAATAGAACCAGTTACACTGAATTGACTTTCATGTAAAAGAGTGCAATAGAATTTCTAATATAGTTATAATATTTATGAATTGTTCAAATTTATGCATTTGAAAAAGAGATATCATATTTTTATAAAATATAAAGAGAACAAAATGGTTTTTTGAGAAAAAATGGTTTGTCTTTTAAAACACTAACTTTAAATAGCATAATATGAACAAGGAATGTTTAATAGGTTAGAGAAATTTGAGCTTTTCCAAACATGCAGTTATTTGGTATTAAAAATACAATGTCAAGAATTAAAGGAAGACATATACATTTTACATTCAAATGCAGTATGTAATGCCATGCCAACTATGGAAAACAGTACATGCTTAACATATACTAAAATATAAGCTACGATAACAACTTACACAGTTTCCAGTATTTTATTTTTGTATATTCTGGTAAAGGCATATAGAGTTCTATAAGCCACTACTATTTAAATTGCATAACTACGTGTAATTTCACTATATATATAGTCTGCTTCAAATCCATAGAGTATTCTCTCTGAAAAATACAAAAGCTGCTAATACAGGCAAGTCATATGAATTTATTCTACTGTACTTAAATCAAATCATTGCTAAAGTAAATGTTAAACAGAACTCTTTTCAGAAGCCATAGAATGGCTTTTTCCTGTTAAGAGTTAAGGAAATAGCTGTTGGTTTAGATTCAGAATCAGCGTTGAATGTCGGTGAAAAGATTCTACTGCCCAAGAGAAGTAGGACTGATTCCTATTGATTCTTTCCTATTAGTCAACCCCCTCTGCAACAGTTTATCTTCCTCTGATATAATAATATGGTTTGACTAGAGAAGGAATGGCCCATAAAACACTCCTGTCACTTCCACTTTCCAATAATAAAACTTTGGGAAAAAACTCAAATTTATGCAAATTTTAGAGACACAATGTGTTTTTGAGGAAGATAGGAAGATTCTTGAACTTCTTCTATTTTATTGTTATGCTTTCTTGAATCCTGAAATACATCTACAAATTTCAAATGAAAACTAAAAAAAATGACTTCCAAATTTCAGAGTGGGTTTAGCTAGATATCAGTCAGTTCCATTCAACAAAGAAAACTTGATATCCAAATTATTGTAATTTAAAGGAGCTTGGATTTTATATAATTTGATACACACAGAACTGACAGAATCTAAGGTTTTTGTATAGCTGAGATACTATTGAATCCTTCCAAGGCTTAGATTTTTGATGGGTTTAGGGAAAAATACTTTTTTAAAAAATGTGCCAAGCGTATTCAAATATTTAGAGGAATACTGCCATGTTAATTCCAATGTTGGCTTATTGATCCTTGTCACCCAGCCACTCTTTCAAATTTCCTCTCTATTCTCCATCCTGTAAGCTGGGCATCTGTAACAGTGTTGACAGGGTACAAAGAATTTGGGGAGTTGTACAGTAATGCAGAAAAGGTACCCAACCATATTAAATAGTATTTCAGGAATAAAAATGCTCTGAGGTAAAGGGGCTCAGACATTTTTTACCTACAATGACATGTTTCAGCTTATAGAGTTATCTATAAGTTATAAGCCTTGGATCTAACCCATTATTTGAAATAATATTTAGATGTTGAATGCAAGGGTTTTTCTCATGCCAGTTCTTTTTTTTGCAAACAGAAGAAACATTAGTTGGAGAACAGCATCCTGTACTTCTCTTCACATATCAAACAACCAACATACATTGCTACGAGCTACTGATCTAAAACATCATTTAAGTTAGGGGTGTTGGACCATTCCTGATAATTTACTTTATTTTACAAAATTAAATTTAGAGATATAATTCCATTTATAAACACCAGTGTCCACGCAGTATGATGCTATGAAATAGTGAGTGAATGAAAATATTTCAACACTATGTACTACAATACACTTCTGTTACACATGTTTTTCAGCAGAGGTGGGCAACCTGCCAGATGATGAAGCTCTTAATTCAGTTTTCTAGCAATTGTCCTAACCTGCAATTTAGGGACAGAGCAAGAGCCAGACAGAAAGAGGAAAGAGTCAGGTATCAAACAGAATAAAATTGAATAGGTGGATAATCTGACACCCTTTTACCACTGGTTCCATCCATGGCTTGTGACTATTAACATACAGTCCTGCAGATTATTCCACAGGACATATGATAGAAAAATATTGCTCCCTAATGCTTTATGAGAATATGTGACACTGAACAAATGCCATTCAAATATTTCTCATACAATCTCTATGTCTCTAAATATTATGTTTCAACATACAGTATGTAAAAAATTGACATACAATGACACAATAAAGACTTTGAACAAAATAGTCAATACTATATACACTATTTACATTCAATAAACATTACAATTTTGTAGAGGTTTTGGATACCTTACCATTAGAAAAAACTGCTAGTAGTGTTTAATTTATTCAGACTTCACTATTTTCAAACATTGTTGAATTTCATCATGAAAAAAAGCATACTATATAGAAAAAAATGTGAGGATTAGAAAGCATTTTTGAAAAGGAGACATGAGAACTATGCCTTCTCTCAAAATGAATGGCATGGATACCCATTGTGTGAACAAAAACAAGTTGATGTAGTTTTGAGTTACAAATTTTAAAGAGGCAAAGAAAAGACATTAAAATGTGTGAAGAGAATATGGCACTATTTTGAAATGCCAGCACTTAATATATCACAATTCTGAATGGAAAGCAGAATTGCATATTGTGCCTCACCTGGACCTGTCTCAAACACAGCCTCTGAGCTCCTAAAACCAGAAAGACCCTCAGCACCAATTCGGACTTTATATGACGTTCCTGGTGTTAATCCTTTTAAGAGAAAGAAGCTCCGAGAACCATTAACATTTTCTTTTTTCAATTCTTCTTTGCCTATAAAATTTTTAGGAACACAGCATTTGTATTCATTCATTCATGGTGAGATATCCTGACACTTTGTGATAGTTCAGATACTGATCTTTAAAATATTTTTTCTTAAGACAGAGCATTGAGAGAACTATGTTCTAAATATTTTATTCTTCATGCTATTCTGCTCAAAATTGCACGAAGAAGGCAATTGGATGGGATAATAATTTTAAAGCATCTTTTGTGTATTATAATAGATAACATTTTCTATTTATTTTCTTATACTTTACATCAATTATGCTTACCAAGAAGGGAAAGGAATCACAATTAAAAGGACAGATTCTCAATCAACTTTTATAAACTATAGGTTTGTCCAGATTCTTCCTTTTCTTTATTAACCACAAAAATAAGCTTGCATCTTATTTGGAACTGCTAAAAAGCTGAAGTTTTATGCAAAGGTGTACCCACTAGGAACCATTTCCTCACATGGAAACTGGCAGATAAATAGTGAGGCAGCAATTACATATAACTTCCTCAGAATATCACAAGTGAAGGAAGACCAAACTACAGATACTCAAAGTCTTTTATTTCAGCATGCCTTAGTTAAATGTAGATTAAAATATACACTGCTTGTACACAGAATGTATTCCACAGTGAGCATAATTGCATGTTGCTAACCAAACCATACTAGGAAAATTCTATTCATATGTTCCATGTATTTTAATAGAAAAATACTAGTTTAAAAGGAACGAACATTCCTTTCACAATCCAAAAGCTATGTATGTCTTTCATGGGGCAAATAATCTGCTAATTTACTTCCGAAGAGAAAGAAAAATTAATTCAGTCTGTTTTGTTGTTTCTTTACCATTAAAGTGTCTTGTAGGGACAGGCATGCTGTGTCAAACAAGAGTATTAAAATTTTAGTAAGTGTTTTTGGCAGAAATCCTAAGATAATACAAGAAGTCAATGTTCTATGTACTGCGTTAAACACAAGTTACTTCCACAAAATCTGACCCCTTAAATCTGTGTCCTAAAAAACAGAAATAACTTTAGAAAAGCAAATCAATACTGGATCCTTTTCTATTATTATAATACATTTAAAAGAATTCAATGAAATGTCTTCTTACTGCCTGCCACACCATATTCAACATAAATGTTCTCATGAACTGGACCCTCATATTCCCAACTGATATTGGCATATGTTTCAGCAGCTGCTATCGTAACATTTTTTATCCTTGGATACACTGGCTGCACTGAATATACAAGAAAAAAAGAGCAAATTATTAAAGGCTGCATGTATTCAATGCTGTCTAACTTCATTTATCTGAATTTCACAAAATGGAATGGGTAAAACAATTTATTGTGAATTCTTATGTTTAGAAATTCTGCTTAAACATAATTAATACTTTCTATCTCATTTCAGTTACCAAACATGGTTCTCCTGCAAACAGCATCAAGGAGACAAACTTTCTTTCAGTTCAAAATGAGCTTATACATCTGGGGTTCCCAACCAGGGGTGCGAGATGATATTCCAGGGGGTGTGAAAACTTTCAAAATTATAATGTATATGCATAATTTGTTGCCGTTATTTCGAACTTTTGTAAGGGGTGCAAGAATATATCAGAAGCATTCTAGGGGTGCGGGATACAGAAAAGGTTGGGAGCCGCTGTTATAGATGGAAGCCTCCAACATAATTTGAAATTATGTGTATATATGTTTGCATGTGTGCACACACATGTGCATATTTTATGAACATGTATATGTACTTACTGGATGACTCTGGAATTATATGTGTACTTATGGGCTAAAAATGGAATATTCAATGTCCAAAATTTACTTTTTTCCAGTGGACTAGGATGGACTAGCCTGTACGAAAGCTATGCAACCTTACAAATAATCAAATAATTTGACTGCCTGACATCATTGTGAAATTGATTGTGGTACAAGGTTTGCCACCAACTATATTGTGAAGTATGCAGATGATACAACAGTAGTGGGTCTTATTCAGGATGACAAGGGTGCTTACCGCAAGGAGGTAGAGGGTTTGGTGAACTAGTGTAATAAAAACAGCCTTGTTTTAAATATAGGAAAAACTAAAGAGATTATCGATTTCAAAAAAGGCAGGCACAGCTACATACCTCTGTGTATTAATGATTCATCTCTGGAGGTGGTTAGCAGCATCATGTTTCTGGATGTGCAGCTTACAAGTAGGCTAGCTTGGTCACTCAACAGTGAGTCACTGCTGAAGCAGACACAGTAGCATCTGTATTTTCTGCATCGCATGAGAAAAGTACATCTTCCTTCCCCCGTCCTTACCACTTTCTATAGAGGGACAATCGAGAGCATCCTGTCATATTGCATTACTGTCTGGTTTGGAAGCATTATTGCTTCGGACAGGAAGGCAATGCACAGAGTGGTGAGCATGGCAGAAAAGATTATCGGTAGTTCACTTCCTTCTATTTAGGACATAGCATATAAGCATTGCTTGAGCAGGGTCCACAATATCGTCTGAGACACTGTCACTGTGTAAGAAATTTTATGAACTGGAATAGACATAGCAACAAACCAGCCAATGAGAACTGTTTTTGATTAAGACACAGTATTGGCTGTGTAAGGCATGTGATCAGCCTAGGTCTGGGATATCTTAGTCTTCTCTGTGTGTTGTTCTTTTTTTGATCTCCAAGTTAAGAGTTGTTGATGTTCCCCAGAGCTGAATGAAACTGTATGTATCATGTTTATATATATATTATAGATAAAGTTTTTCTAAACTATGCCTCCTGCTCATTTTGAATGTATGCTTATTTTTTGGGCTTATTTTTGCGCTGGGTGAGCTGTAAACTCTAACAGACACTACTCATCCTCTTCATGACCTGTTTTCTTTGTTACCTTCTGGGAGGAGGCTTCGTGGTATCCAAAGCAGAACATCTAGATTCAGTCACATAGTATCAACCTTCTGAACTCTCAAGTTTCCTCTTTCCATTATGTATTGAATAGAATAGAGCTGGAAGGGAACTTGGAGGTCTTCTAGTCCAGCCCCCTGCTCAAGCAGGAGGACCTATACCATCTCAGACAGGTGATTGTCCAGTCTCTTTTTAAAAACTTCCAGCGATGGAGCGCCCACAATTTCTGGGGTAAGCTGTTCCACTGGTTGATTGTCCTCACTGTCAGGAAGTTTCTCCTTAATTCCAGGTTGCTTTTCTCTTTGATCAGCTTCCAACCATTGTTTCTTGTCCTTCCTTCTGGTGCTCTGGTGAACAACCTGACCTGGTCTTCTTTGTGGCAGCCCCTTAGATATTGGAACACTGCTATCACATCTCTCCTATTTCTTCTTTTCTTTAGACTAGCCAAACCCAAGTCCTGCAGTCGTTCTCTGTATGTTTTGGTCTCCAGGCCTTTGATCATCTTAGTTGTTCTTCTCTGAATTTTTTCCAGACTCTCAACATCTTTTTTGTGATATGGTGACCAAAATTGGCTGCAGTATTGGAGGTGTGGTCTTACTAGGGCTTTATAAAGTGGTACTAGTACTTTGCATGATCTTGATTCTATGCCTCTGTTTATACAACCTAGGATTCTATTAGCTTTTTTGGTTGCTGCTGCACACTGCTGGCTCATAGTTAAGTAATCATTCACCAGGACTCCAAGGTCCCTCTCACAGTTACTGCCTCCAAGCCAGGTCTCGCCCAATCTGTATTTGTTCCTTTGGTTTTTCTTGTCTAAGTGTAAGACTTTGCTTTTCTCCACATTGAAACTCATTTTGTTGGATAGAGCCCATTGTTCGAGTTTGTCAAGATCTTTTTGGATCCTGAGTTTGTTTTCTGGGGTATTGGCTACTCCTGCCAGTTTGGTGCCATCTGTGAATTTGATGAATTCCCCTTCAATTCCCTCATCTAAGTCATTTATGAAGATATTGAAGAGTACTGGGCCTAAGACGGAACCTTGTGGTACCCCACAAATGGACAGTGATTAATATATATATATATGTATGGGTGTAGGTATATACAGTATATGTATGTATATAGCATGCATATATGTGTGTTATGTATATGTATGGGTATACTTTCTTTTGAGAGCAGGCAACAGAATTTCATTTTTAATGTGTTCCAGTGTACTCACAGTAAAAAATGACAATAAAGGTTATCTTAATCTTAAATTATGGAGAAATAAATTATCAAACAATATGTATTATCTTATAAATATGGATATGAGCCTTGTTGGATTAAGTGACATATAAATTGTAGAGAACAAAAAAGTAGAATCCCATATTATAGTCTTATTCCATGCAGGAGCTACTGCTGTAGACACTGAAAACCGTAATATGAAGAACATTCTTATATCATTCTTATGAGAAATATAAAGGAAGGAAGGAAGCTTAGCTGCTTTAATAAGAGGACCATATTTGGTAGCTAATAAAAGGTAATTATTTTAAGATCGATTCCATTCTGAACTGCTGGAGAATTAGTGACTGCAAGATTATCTGACATAGTGTATATGATATGAATAACCAAATTATTACTAAATATGACTAACACCTTGAATACATGCTTAGTGAGATAATTAAGCATATATTGAACTGCATGTTTATTTATTCTAATATCCAATCAGATGTTCCTAAAACAATATTCCAAAATGGAGATTCTACATGTAATGAAAAAATGTAAAAACGTGCATTTTTCTAGTCTCATGCCATTTTCTACATTTCAATATTTCCTTTTAGAATGGTGCATTCCAGTTGTTTCTATGGAATGTTATTTTGATAAAATAAATAGTAATACCCTTATAAAATGTTGAAGGTGCAGTATGCATGATAGATGAGATTTCAAAAGGGTTTTCTGAATATCCTTCATCCAACAAAGCAGCAAAAAAGAAAACAAAGAAGAAAAATATTGATATGGTAAATATGTTTTAAACAACACTTTGCCATCTACTTTCTGCCCTTTAAGTAAACAGAACACATAAATACATAAATTTCCATAAAGTATGACAACAGAATAATAAATAACAAAATGAAAACAGGAAATAATTTTATAAACTTTTTAAAAAGACAACCTCTAGTTCTAGCACTTCAAAAACTACTGCATGAAATCTTCTGCTTCTCCTAGATAAAAAATTCATAAGTGAGTCCCTTAAAGACTTACTAGAAAAAGAATTTGTAGTATCTTAGGTAGACGTGATTACCAAATAACAATAGAACTGTCGACTTACAACAATTTGTTTAGTGACTGTTCAAAGTTACAATGGCACTGAAAAAAGTGACTTGTTATCGTTTTTCACTTATGAAAGTTGCAGCATCTCCATAGTCATGTGATCAAAATTCAGATGCTTGGCAACTGACTCATATTTATGATGGTTGCAGTGTCCTGGGATCATGTGATCACCTTTTACCACCTTCTTACAAGCAAAGTCAATGGGAAAGCCAGATTCATTTAACAACCGTATTACTAATTTAATAACTGCAGGGATTCACTCAAAAACTGTGACAAGAAAAGTGGTAAAATGGGAAAAAAATCACTTAACACGTGTTTCGCTTAGCAATAGAAATTTGGTGCTCAATTGTAGACATAAGTTGAGGACTACCTATACTGCTACACTTGAATTACACTTAATTACTGAGATAGCTGAGGATGGCCCTAGAAAAGCAAATACTTAGAATGTGAAAATGTATTTAGAAAGCATAACAAGTTTCTCCCCAACTGTACCTATGTGACTGGGAAAATGTTGAAAATGTTCTCTTTTGTTTCTGAAAGTATTCCTTTAATATAACTTTGAAATATAACTTAGGTTTAAGTTAAACTTGCTTTTTCAGTGATGAAATACAAAATATCTACAATAATAAAATTAAATTCTACTAAAAAATGCTGTAAAAGTAGATGCATATAATTTAACTTATTCAATTCAACCATCTTGAATTGTTGATAAAAATAATAAATGTGGGAATAAAAAAACCTAAAAAAAGATTTTATTGGCCAATAAAACAGCTGCCCTGTTGTCTAATAGCATTCTGGACTAAATTGACTTTTGGTCTTTAAGGAATCTGCAACATCTACGGAAATAGAGTGGGAGAAAAATTACCAAACAGCTTAGTACAAGCAACATGAAAAAGAAATAAAATAATTTATTCATGGTTTATTGTTTCTATTTTTCCCATCATCTTTATTTCACTGGCTCCAGTTCTTGCACTATAGGGATATTGCAATTCTTTGGTAAACATTGTAACTCAATTCTGATTTTGACAATTATTTTAGAAATTTTAAAACGTATTGCTTTGTTTATTGTATAATAGTATATTAGCAAGAGAAGAAATTTTGAAGAAATTTTGAATGAATTATAAGTGCCATAAAATGTTAGGATCGCTTTCTTACTTTCAATTATTAAACTATATATCCACAACACTTAATTCCAATGAAATAATTAATACTGGATAAACAGGTAAAATGATATTGATATGGTTTAGAAAACATTTTCTAGCTACAAGGTAGCAACATAATGCTTGACCGCTCCACAGAAATTTAGCATCCAGTTTTAAACTCTAAAGTGGAACAAGTCAGGTATATAGGAATATTTGAGCAATGAAGCTAGAAAAATATCTTGGAAACCACTGAAGATGGTAGAAATATACAAAGCAATCGGAACATTTTTAGGATTCCTTTCTAGCAAACATTTTATTTATACACATATTCCTTTCCTCTTTTCCCTGTACCTATCTATTTTTTCCCTGAATCTGCTCTGAAATATATCTTTATAATTAAGAACTATTTTTGAGTCTACAGAAAGAGGTAGAAGAAACAAATTTCCATCCATGGAAAAGATTAACTGAATGGGTTCAATGTTTTCTTTTGTTACATTACTATTTAAAAGAGAAGAATAAAATACTATCAACTATTACCTGGAATGAAAAAAATGAAATAATATTCAGCAAGGCATTACCCTACTTTTTATTAGTACTTACATCTTAGTGAAATATTTTAACAAACTTCAGTATGTATCACATTCATTAATGAAACAGTAAGAAAAATTATATTAAATTACTGAGCAGCTTAGTTCTCTTTGGAACAGTAATGTGTTTTACAAGTAACAATCCTACATCAGTGTTTTATTGGTACAGTACGCTGAGGAGGTCAATAATAAACACGAGGATATGTGATCCACTGATAAAGAGTGCTGCTGAATTAAAACTTCCAGCCCCCTTGTTCAACAATATGAAATACAGGTCAACAACCCTGGAAGGCCACGTATTTACTATCCTTTCCTTACATAAATAAGAAAATACTGCTTGTAGCAACTGCCCTCCTTGGTTAATCTGCAAGTTCCATAATCTTAGAAACAAATAGCCCATCCCAGCCTATCCAAGCAGTGTAACTAGAGCAAAGGGAAACAAAATAGTTATTGTCACTTAGTCCTTTCCAGTAAACTGAGATTGTTTTGTTCAGCATACACAAAAGATAGGTGATATTACATACAGTGAGGGAAAAACTATTTGATCCCCTGCTGATTTTGTACGTTTGCCCACTTGTTAGCAATCACAGAGGTCAGACATTTCTTGTAGTTGGCACACATCTCAGGAGGGATTTTGTCCTATTCCTTCTTTGCAGATCCTCTCCAAATCATTAAGGTTTCGAGGCTGACGTTTGGCAGCTCAAACGTTCAGCTCCCTACACAGTTTTTCTATGGGATTAAGGTCTGGAGACTGGCTAGGCCACTCCAGGACCTTAATGTGCTTCTTGAGCCACTGCTTTATTCCCTTGGCCATGTGTTTTGGGTCATTGCCATGCTGGAATACCCATCCACAACCCATTTTCAATGCCCTGGCTGAGGGAAGGAGGTTCTCACCCAAGATCTGATGGTACATGACCCCGTCCATCGTCCCTTTGATGTGGTGAAGTTGTCCTGTCCCCTTAGCAGAAAGACACCCCCAAAGCATAATGTTTCCACCTCCATGTTTGATGGTGGGGATGGTGTTCTTGGGGCCATAGGCAGCATTCCTCCTCCTCCAAACACGGCAAGTTGAGCTGATGCCAAAGAGCTCAATTTTGGACTCATCTGACCACAACACTTTCACCCAATTCTCCTCTGAATCATTTAGATATTCATTGGCAAACTTCAGACAGGCCTGTACATGTGCTTTCTTGAGCAGGGGGACCTTGCAGGTGCTGCAGGATTTCAGTCCTTCACAGTATAGTGTGTTACCAATTGTTTTCTTGGTGACTATGGTCTCAGCTGCCTTGAGATCATTGACAAGATCCTCCTGTGTAGTTCTGGGCTGATTCCTCACCGTTCTCATGATCACTGAAACTCCATGAGGTGAGATCTTGCATGGAGCCCCAGACCGAGGGAGATTGACAGTTATTTTGTGTTTCTTCCATTTGTAAATAATTGCACCAACTGTTGTTGCCTTCTCACCAAGCTGCTTGGCGATAGTCTTGTAGCCCATTCCAGCCTTGTGTAGATCTACAATCTTGTTCCTGACATCCTTGGACAGTTCTTTGGTCTTGGCCATGGTGGAGAGTTTGGAATCTGATTAATTGCTTCTGTGGACAGGTGTCTTTTATACAGGTAACAAGCTGAGATTACCTGTATAAAAGACACCTGGGAGCCAGAAATCTTGCTGATTGATAGAGGATCAAATATTTATTTCACTCATTAAAATGCAAATCAATTTATAACTTTTTTTAAATGTCTTTTTCTGGATTTTTTGTTGTTGTTATTCTGTCTCTCACTGTTAAAATAAACCTACCATTAAAATTATAAACTGATCATTTCTTTGTCAGTGGGCAAATGTACAAAATCAGCAGGGGATCAAATATTTTTTCCCCTCACTGTATCCTACACAATGTGAATAGTACCTTTACAGCTAGCAGTGGTAGCAGGGTGACTATAAATAACTTAAAATGTAAATGCATTTGCACTTTCAGTTTTTATGTAGCAATCAACAGCACAATTCGGTTTTATCAAGCTTATCAGTTATTTTGGTAGATTTAACATTAGCATTAACTCCTCCCATGCTATGTAGCATATCAGCCATTGCTGATCTCAAGGATGAGGAGGAGAGTTAGGGATTGGGCTAGCAAACTGTCCTTGTAAAAATTATAACCACTATAGAAACATATATATCTCCATGATATATAATGGAGAAAAAGAATGAGGCAGCATATACTGCTCTGGTTGTTTGAACCAGTAAGTGAAAAACTTTGTTAAGGCAATAGATAGATCCTTCATAAATACTATCTTTTTAGGACCTTATTTATGGAACTCTACTGTTTCCTCTTATCACCAACTCTTTTTTAAATATAGAAAACTGGGGGGAAAGCCACACAATCAGTATTTACTTTTACTTGCAATTATATCCAAGGAATAAGAGTATGAGTAGAGGAAAATAAAAGAACACTAGATAACTACATTACTAGTTACACAGAAAGAAATACAAAAAGACAATTATAGTACTAATCTATTCATAGATATTAAAGCATGAAAGCAAGCAGTTAAATGAAAAGGGTTAGGAATTAGAGAATAAGAAATTAAACAACACATTGATTTACAATAGTGAGCTTAGAAACAAAAAACAAAGTTAGTAGGCATGGATTTATTTTAAACTACTAGTCTTTAACGTATTTATTTTTTTCAACAAAGCATTTCTTAAGTACTAAACATTCAGTCTTACAATTTATGGATATATAATTAGTGGAAATGTTCTCTCAAACTGCAGGTAATGGGACTTCCATGAAAGATTTTACTGTACACAATAATAATAATATCCTAGCAAACAATGTGCAAACACTATGCCAGGTTAAGAAATATTACACTCAACTATCTATTTAATTTGGTCTTAATAGAATATCAAAGCCACTTTTTTGCATTTGCTAATGTGATTAGGTTTTTAATCAGGTATTTTCTGCTGCATATGTGATATCAAAAATATTTTATTGAGGTCTTTTCATGGAATGCTTATCTGCTATTGTTCAGGATCTTAAAGACTGATTTTAGTTTTAATACCTATAGTGTGGTACATGAACAGTGAATATCTCAACTGATGTATTTGTTTATTTAATTTAAAATTCTTAAATTTATTAATAATTTATTCATTAAATAAATTTATTCATCCATTGGTTGTGTACAATTGGCAGTTACATTACTGGGGTTTAACAAAATTCAGACAGATACCTCATGTTTATTCCCATGAGCTCTAAAGCACCATTCAGCCTTAGAATCAACAGTGCTGCAGAATCCTAGAATACGTCATAATAAGTTGTTTGCTCTAGGCCAGGGGTAGGCAACCCAAAACACTCAAAGAGCCACTTGGACACGTTTCCCACCGAAAACAAAACACTGGGAGCTGCAAAATCCTTTTGATATCTAAAATGAAGATAACACTGCATATATTCCTTTTTTACCTTTAATATGTATGTATGTATGTATGTATGTACGTACGTACGTATGTATGTTTGTGTTTGTGTGTGTATATATAAAATAAAAGTAAAAAAGGACATATGCAGTGTTATCTTCATTTTAGATATCAAAAGGATCTCTCTCTCTTTCCTCTTTCTCTCTTTCCTCTTTCTCTTTCCTCTTTCTCTTCTCTTTCTCTTTCCTCTTTCTCTCTTTCCTCTAACTTTCTCTCTCTTTCCTCTCTCTTTCTCTGTCTCTCTCTCTTTCCTCTCTTTCTCTTTCCTCTTTCTCTTTCCTCTTTCTCTTCTCTTTCCTTTCTCTTTCCTCTAACTTTCTCTCTCTCTCTTTCCTCTCTTTCTCTTTCCTCTCTCTTCCTCTCTTTCCTCTCTTTCTCTCTTTCCTCTCTTTCTCTTCTCTTTCCTCTCTTTCTCTTCTCTTTCTCTTTCCTCTTCCTCTCTTTCTCTTTCTCTTTCCTCTTTCTCTTTCCTCTCTTTCTCTTCTCTTTCCTTTCTATCTTTCCTCTAACTTTCTCTCTTTCCTCTCTTTCTCTGTCTCTCTCTTTCTCTTTCCTTTCTCTTTCCTCTCTTTCTCTCTTTCCTCTCTCTTCCTCTTTCTCTCTTTCCTCCAACTTTCTCTCTCTCTTTCTCTGTCTCTCTCTTTCCTCTCTTTCTGTCTCTCTTTCTCTTTCCTCTCTTTCTCTTCTCTTTCCTCTTTCTCTCTTTCCTCTAACTTTCTCTCTCTCTCTTTCCTCTCTTTCTGTCTCTCTTTCTCTTTCCTCTTTCTCTTTCCTCTCTCTCTTTCCTCTTTCTCTTCTCTTTCCTCTTTCTCTGTCTCTCTCTTTCTCTTCCCTCTTTCTTTCCTCTAACTTTCTCTCTCTCTTTCCTCTCTCTTTCTGTCTCTCTCTCTTCCCTCTTTCTTTCCTCTCTTTCTCTTTCCTCTTTCTCTCTTTCCTCTCTTTCTCTTCTCTTTCCTTTCTCTCTTTCCTCTAACTTTCTCTCTCTTTCCTCTCTCTTTCTGTCTCTTTCTCTTTCCTCTTTCTCTTTCCTCTATTTCTCTCTTTCTCTTTCCTCTTTCATCTCTCTTTCTCTCTTTCCTCTTTCTCTTTCCTCTCTTTCTCTTCTCTTTCTCTTTCCTCTTTCTCTCTTTCCTCTAACTTTCTCTCTCTTTCCTCTCTTTCTCTTTCCTCTTTCTCTCTTTCCTTTCTTTCTTTCCTCTCTCTTTCTCTTCTTTCTCTTTCCTCTCTCTCTCTTTCCTCTCTTTCTCTGTCTCTCTTTCTCTTTCCTCTTTCTCTCTTTCCTCTCTTTCCCTTCTCTTTCTCCTTTATTTATTTATTTATTTATTTATTTATTTATTTATTTATTTATTTATTTATTTATTTATCACATTTTATACCCCGCCCTTCTCCTAGTGGACTCAGGGCGGCTTACAGCCAGTTTAAAACAAAACAATCAATACAATATACAAAATTTAAAATGTAATTAAAAAGAAATATTAATATGGGCCTTTTCTTCCTTTTTTTAAAAGTTATTTAAAAACCAAATTTAAAATACCCCTTAGGCCAGTCCTGCCAGCTGAAATAGCCATGTCTTGAGGGCGCGGCGGAAGG